AGTCCGAACGGTCGTCGGAGGTTCTGCTGGAACAAATCCGAGAAGTCCAGGAGCTTGCCAAAAGAAGCTCATCAGAACTCGCCAAGTGGATCGTCGCAAGTCCAGGAGTTTATCGGAAGTTCGTCGGAGCATCGCCGGAGGTTCGTCGGATTTTCGTCGGAAGTTCGCCGGAAGAAGCGATTGACGCACTAGAGCAAGCTGTAGTAAATGTCTTAAGAATTGTCATAGTTAGCATGTAGATTAAGTTAGGAATGGGAGGTGATCCCATTAACTTAATCTAGGAGCAATTGGGCCCTTGACAGACCCAAATTAGGCCGAATGGATCAACCCATTCGGACCAGAATTCCTACTAGGCGGTGGCACCGCCTAGGAGAGGGTCTCCTAGGAAAGCTGACCGGTGCAACCGCCCCAGGCAGGCGGTGGCACCGCCTGGGCTCAGTCTCCGAGCGAGACTAAGCGGTGCAACCGCCCCTATCAGGCGGTGGCACCGCCCAGAAGCTCAGTCTCCGAGCTGCCAGGCGGTTGTACTGCCCAGTCAGGAGGTGGTACCGCCAGGACCCCAAAAATCCGAGAAAAGATATTTTTGAGCTCCAAATTCAAACTAGTTTGGGGCCTATATATACCCCACCCTTTCTTGCATGAAAGGGTACCGAAAATCCAATCTTACTCTATGATTTTTAGAGCTCAAAAGTGTTATAAAGGTTAGAAGTTCTCCTCCCTCTTTTTTCAAGTTTTGATCTTTCAAGAGAGGAGAGAAAAGTTTTTAAGGGTTGTCTCCTAAGCCTATCAAAAGGAGTAAAACTATAAAAGGGTGGTTGACCTTCGCCTATTGAAGGAATGCCTCAAGTGGACGTCGGTGACCTCATTGGTGGAGTGTTAGAACCCTTGCAGATTCTAAACTTGGGGTTGATCTCTTTAGGGGATCGGCCTCCTTGGAACTCTATAGGGGTTCCTCCCTCCAAGTTGCTGCTCAAAGGCTGCAGAAAAGATTCATCTATTGCTTATGAAAAGAGGTGGAATACATGACTATTTATAGGGCTTCTAAACTCTAACTCATAATAGGACTCTTACTTAAGACTCATACTTCTAACCAACTCCTAATAGGACTCCTACTCAAGACTCGTACTTCTAACCAACTCTTAATATGACTCCTACTCAAGACTCATATTCCTTTACAACTCCTTATTCTTCTCTAAGAAATAACCTCCTAACCCTAGTCGGCCACTTCACCTCTTTAATAGGGGTCGGCTTAGGTAGGTTTTACATGAATGTCCCTCTCAATTAGGACTCTCCAAGCTAGAGTCCTAACAAACCCACCCTCTTCAAATCAGCCTTGTCCTCGAGGCTGACGATTCATGAATTTTGGGAATTTGATTTTCAAGTCATCATAGTTCTCCCAAGTGGCATCTTCTGTTAGTAGGTTTGCCCACTGTATTAGCAATTCAGTAGTGGATCGTCGTCGTCGAGTCACGATCCGTCGATTAATAATGGCACTTGGCTGAGTCTGAAGTTTTCCTTGGGTAGTCATATTTGGTGGGTGGCTTTGGGCTGTCTCCAAGCACCTATTTACAACTTCCGTTTGTCCGTTGGTTTGTAGGTGATATGTCATACTCCTTTTCAATTTAGTACCCTGCATATGGAATAACTTTGTCCAAAATCTGCTCGTGAAGATGCAAGAAGAATTTATCATAAGCACAATGCGTCCCTTATAGTGTAATTCTTTTGAGTCCCAATTGTAATGAGCCATGGGGCTTGGTGCTTCCTCTAATTTTTTTATAATCTTACTAGTCTCTGAATCTTCCTACCATTCCATCTTAATATCTTTAAGAAAGTCGCTGGTCGGAAGTGAAACGGCCGAAACTTCAACTTGCTCGAGTAGTTACGAAAGCGCATCTGCAAGAACATTCTCTTTTCCCTTTTTGTAAGTTATTTCATAATCAAATCCAAGAAGTTTTGTTACCCATTTTTGCTACTCAGGGGATGATATCTTTTGCTCCAAAAAGTACTTGAGGCTTTTATGGTCAGTTTTAATTTGAAATCGTTGGCCAATCAAGTAGGGTCTCCACCTCGTTGCTGCGCGCATAATGGCGAGCATCTCCTTATCATATGTTGACTTATTTTGATAGGAGGGAGATAATGCCTTGCTAGTGTATGTGAGTGGTCGACCATCTTGCATGAGAATAACTCCAATTCCGACTCCAGATGCGTCGGCCTCAATAATGAAGGGTCGGTTGAAATCTGGTAGTGTTAGCACCGGCGTCGTCGTCATGGTTGCCTTAAGTTTGTCAAAGGCAGCGGAGGCTCTGTCCAACCATTGGAAGACATCTTTTTTCAGTAAGGAAGTAAGTGGTGCACTGATCTCTCCATAGTTTTTCATGAACTTGCAGTAGTAGCCTGTTAAACCCAGAAAGCCATGTAGTAATTTTATGTTCCTCGGGGTCAGCCAGTTTTGCATTGCTCCAATTTTGAAGGGGTCTACTGCCACACCTTCCTCTGATATGATATGCCCAAGATATTTCACCTTTTTCTGAAGAAAGCAAAAATTCATAGTGGTTGTTGTGTGTTCAAAAGGTGGTTTTCGGGATGTCTTCTTCGCATACTCATGTTTCATGATACCCGGATCGAAGGTCCAGCTTTGTGAAGATTTGTGCTCCCTTTCATCTAGCAACTCATCTACTACTGGAATAGGGTATTTATCCTTGATGGTTATGCCATTGAGAGCTCGGTAATCAACACATAATCGCCATATTCCATCCTTCTTTCGTATAAGGAGTACCGGTGAAGAGTAGGGGCTGCAACTTAGACTAGAAGAGGAGGATTCTCACAAGAGATTCCAACAGCGTTTTTCCCATTTAAAATTCTCTATGCTTGTGTAAGTTAACCAGGGATGAGAGGGGTATTTATAGGCTTCAAGTTGATTCAAACTCGAAGCCTAAAAAGGTTTCATCCTAAGTTTCCTAGCGCATCGTTCTCTCTTGCGACCTTACCTAATCGGCCAGTTGACCTCCGCAACTCCGATATTCTTGGTGCAATATCCGCTCTTCTTGGCCCGATGCCCGAATCCATGGCCTGAAGCATTTTGTTGATACATCGACCGATCCTCCGGCCCGACGTCCAATCTTCTGACATGTTTTCCTTCGGCCTAACATGATTCTTCCTGCTTTAATTCTCTCCCTGATCGAAGCATCCTACATCACTCAAAACGCAGATTAAATCATAAATACTTATCAATTGGTTTTATTATCAAAATCCAAGATTGGTATCAGCTATAATTTTGCATATTTTATAATCTCCTGAGGACCAAGCAAAAACTAGGACTCTCTTACGGCACTAATAAAAAGGAAAGAAAAAACATGAGAAAATGTTAATTTAAATGCATTCTTAGCCATTGATTAAATGGTGCCGTCAGATCAATTGAGACATCAAGCATCCTCGGATTCTATGACTCTTTTATCGACAATACCAACATCGTCTGCATTCCTGTAAAAATCACATGCATAATCACATGCATAGAAGTATATATAACATATGTATATATATACAT